CTACAAAGAGAGCATGGGATTCATTGACGAGGAAATTCGCTCCAAGGACCAATTAGACATCGGTCTGAACATGACTTGTTGGATAAAGTGTTTATTTTGTCAGATAATAATGTTGAAAGCTGTTATATATATATATATATATATATATATATATATATATATATAAATACTAAATGTTATAAAGAAACTTTCTGAATATAACTAATAATATATATATATATATTAATATTTGTTAATCCATTATACACACACACACACAGACACACACACACACACATACATATATTTTTTTAATACATTTTCCGTTTATTTTTCGGAGGATGCACATTTTCTGCAAGATTTCTCGAATATTCAAGCCAGTAAATGTAATTAATACTTTTAACAGCATTTACTCAAATAGGATGTATCCTTAAGAATAACGTATAAAGAGAATATATATATATATATATATATATATATATATATATATATATATATGTGTGTGTGTGTGTGTGTGTGTGTGTGTAATTATGAAAACTCACCTTCGTTAGTCAGGTGGGGCGACAGGAAATCCCGAAGAAAAGAAAGCGACGTCTGCCTCCCACAAAAACTGAGCTACAATTGCGCCACATCGCGTGCTTCACACCTTCTCTGAGTCAGGGGAGCAGTGTGAGGGAGCAAAAAAAAGAAGTTGTCAACTAGGAATTACGAGTATTTTAAAAATTTTCTGTGTGACAGAAGACCCCAGGGTTAATAATGTTTCCTTTTTCTCATATTCACTCACACTCAGTAATCCCTTTGTGTCTTAGTGGCCTTATTGCCTTCTATGGTGAAATGATAAAAATAATTAATTTTACAGACTTTGGTAAAATGTAATTTTTGATTTCTAACGGGGGAATAACAAAATTTAGCTCAATGCTAAAAAAAAAAAAAGTTTAATCGTAACCATTAGCATTTATATAAAAGGAGGTATCAGTATCGAATTTGTTTTATAAAGTGATTTAGTACAATGGCTTTTTTCTTTTTAAAAACCAACAAATGTCATGTATAGTATTTATTTAGTTTTGGTTAATTTTTGTACAAGCGAATTTGTACTGGAGCTCAGTAAAAATCGAATTTACTTCAATTAATTAAGTAAAACATATCGCAAGCATTCGTAACGTTAACAAGTGATTTTTAAATTGTCTATATCAAGACAATATATATATATATATATATTGAAATATATATATATATATATATATATATATATATTGAAAAAATATATATATATATATATTGAAAAATATATATATATATATATATATATATATATATATATAACTGATATCGTGTGTATATATATAATATAGATATATATATAATATATATTATCAGACTCAACTATAATATATATATATATATATATATATATATATATATATATATATATGAAGAAATAAAGTTTTAAGGTGTGCTATATTTATGGGATAAAGTGCTCAATGACAGAGATAGAGCCTATGTAAATATAAAAGTGAACATTGAAGTCACTCAGAGGTGACAGGCTGTTTCAATCGTCAGGCCGCATCTAGCATAAAACAGCCTGTCGCCTCTGAGTGTTGACTTCAATGTTCACATTAATATATATATATATATATATATATATATATATATATGAAAATATATAGAAAATAGGAAGGAACCGGTTAGGTAAATAATCCAAAGTCCCTTAGTATTTTAGTTATTATTTTTAAAAAATAGTGCTCGATACAAAAGTAGAGTATAAATATAATTATTTATTTAAAAATATGATTCCAAATCGCTACATAAGAGGTCTCATGTTTCAAAACAAGAGCCGAAAACGTCAATATAATCCTTTAAATTAAATTGAGTTTAAATTAAAATGGGCTCCGTTCCATCTTCAAGAGAAATTTTTGTTGGAATAACGTATATCTGAAATTTACTTGTTTTAAAAATTGAAATCAAAATCTCCATGGTAACAGCAAGGGCGAATTGTTTAAATTGGGTAGGCGAGTGTAGGGTGTTAATAATAAGTAGCGGTATAGAGATACTTTCAAGATGTCAAGTCGGGGAAAGGTGAGGGTGTCTAAAATGAAACGGAAGATGTATTAACCTTCGTCTAGTTTGTTTGTCTATGGAGATTTATTTATTTATTTTATTTTATTTTATTATGAAAGGGAATTGTGCATATAAAAAAAAAGAAAAACTTTCGTAACGTTTGTTTATAATATATTTTTGGCACCTGAAGGAAACAAATAGAACACCAAAAGTTAAATGGAAAATCATTGATAAGGCTAGAACATGTAAAGCTTAGGATGACCCATGCCCTTTGTGCCTCCATGAAAAATTACACATTATTAAACTTCTAAATAATCATAATCTATTAAATAATAGACACGAGTTAACGGTTTTTTTGTAGGCATCATCAGATTTTTGGTTTGAATCATTAGTTAAAAAAAAATGTAATAACTTGTTTAACAAATAGCCCAATCATCAGATTCATAGTAGGAATAATTAACTACAAACATGCATACAACATAACACCCTTCATAATCCATAACCCAAATAAGTAGTTTAAATACCTTACATAATAGATAACCCTTTATAAGTCGTCAAAAAACAAACGTTACGAAAGTTTTTCTTTTTTTTTATATGCACAATTCCCTTTCATAATAAAATAAAATAAAATAAATAAATAAATCTCCATAGACAAACAAACTAGACGAAGGTTTATACATCTTCCGTTTCATTTTAGACACCCTCACCTTTCCCCGACTTGACATCTTGAAAGTATCTCTATACCGCTACTTATTATTAACACCCTACACTCGCCTACCCAATTTAAACAATTCGCCCTAGCTGTTACCATGGAGATTTTGATTTCAATTTTTAAAACAAGTAAATTTCAGATATACGTTATTCCAACAAAAATTTCGCTTGAAGATGGAACGGAGCCCATTTTAATTTAAACTCAATTTAATTTAAAGGATTATATTGAAGTTTTCGGCTCTTGTTTTGAAACATGAGACCTCTTATGTAGCGATTTGGAATCATATTTTAAATAAATAATTATATATATATATATATATATATATATATATATATATATATATATATGCTAACTGATATCTTGTGTGTATATATATATATATATATATATATATATATATATATATATATATATATATATATATATATATATATATATATATATATATACATTCATTGAGTTGATATATATATATGATTTGTAAAAATGAAATCACAAAGGAGTTTCTGTATAAAAATCAATATCGTCCGAGAAAAAATTGAGGTAACATAGACGTGGTTCTGCAGAAGGATGTTGAGAATACTCTATATGTAACATGAGGAAGTTGCATTTAGGATAGGAAAGAGACAGGAACGTCATAGTGAGGAAAAAGGTCTTCGCGAATTTAACATTCCTAAAACATTGAAGGCATGAGAGGCAAAGAAAGAACATCGAATAATATATATAACGAGCTTGTATAAATGGGTTTAAGAACATGAGATAGGAGAGATAGTAGGGAAAATACGGCTTAGAGCTACGAAAAATAGGAAGTTGTGGAGAGCTCTGAACACCCGCGTACTGAAAGGACATGGCACACAACAAAAGAAGTGGAACACAAAGAAAAGGGAGGGAGCTCGTAAAGGAGCAAGTATTGCTGAAAGCAACAAAAGACAGGAAGCTGTAGAGAGCCAGATCACCCTGAAGGATCATGTTTTTTTTTAAACAATTTCGCCATGAGCAAGGCAATAAAGCAATTAAGATGCAATGAGTTACTGAGTGTGAGATACTATGAGAAAAAGACAAAATTATTAAGCAGAGAGAAAAACAAACGAACAGGAATTAAGAAGGCAAAAGATGACGATTGAAATTTCAATTAAATTATTGAAGATCAAAGTTGACTTGAAAACAAGAATCTGAAAGAGCGTCCCATAAGCCAAGGCCGGAATAATCAAACACATTTTCATTTTTTTTATTCATTTAATCCAAGCAATATAGCCTTGGTTAGCAACCAGTTTATGAGAAGGAAACTCTGAATTCAAACTGGATAGCACTATCCTAAAAGGTGTGTATGCAGGTGGCTGGAGATAACGATTGCGAATCCAAATTCCCATTGAAAATTCTAATATCGACACGTCCAGAGGCGTTAAATGGCGACCAATGTTCCATAAGGAAGGAAAGACACTAACATGACACTAACGAACGTGTTAGAGAATATGACAGAAAGAAAAACCACTATAAAGGAGAGAGAACAATAAAAGAAAAGGAATTAAAAAGACAGAAGGTAACAATTAACATTGCATTTAAATTTTTGAAGGTCAAAGTTGAATAAAAACCGAAAAGCGGGAAGTGAGTTTTACAAGCGAAAAGTGCTAGAGAAGATAATGTTAGTATAGAATTTACGGTTACATCATTTCAACTATAAAATGACGGCGCATAGTGTAGATAGCTAGATAGATAGAAGGGTAGACTTGATTTTTAATTTAGCTCCTTAGCAGATTACCTGCTGAAAGACAAGCATCATGGTGAAAAAGTGGATCAATATATAGGTATTTCGGCGAGAGGAAATTGTCGTGTCTTGAAAATTAATACTAATCTCAGTGAAATCTATTCCGTATATACCAATCCCAATTTCAAACAGGAATGAAAATGCTTTGTTCTTCACATTTATCAACAAATGTTCAAATTGGAAGATGTCGTAAATGTACACCTGCTTATAAGTCGTGACTCCCATTCCGAAAGTTTCACTGAATTTAAATTATTCTAACTTTTGTTCCACTGATAGGAAATTAATCAGATATATATTGATTTTAGAATTATTATCTCTCTTATCCAACGAGATTAATCCGAGAGCATGCAATCGGTAGAAAGTAGGTTTTATATCTAGCTTCAAGTATAAATATACCTACCCATCATAATAGTTTTTATTATTGGCAATTTAATATTCCTTATGGAAGCAATTTTGTAATTGCATAGTACTTACATTGACGGCTTTCGGCCACATAACGTTGCAACACCGGTTCCTGTATGATCACCGAAGTTAAGCAATATCGAGCTTGGCCAGTTCCTAGATAGGTGACTACTTGGGAATAGTAGATGCTGTAATGGATGTGTTGGTGGTGTAATGGATAAATGGTTAAGTATTGTTTAATCGGAGAGCTGAGTTCCAATTCCAGCTGGGTTCATTATATTCACTTACGCGCAAATGGGAAAAGGTATGGATCTACCTCTTCTCCCTCCAGCTATGGGTTAATTAGAAAGGCTTGTATCACTATTATCCATTATTATTCATAAATAAATAAAATTGCGTACATAATATTTAAATTTCGACATTAACCAAGACATAGAGTTTGATATGCCACTGAACAAAAAACAAACAACCAACATACACTGATGTGCCAAAAGTCATAGGATCGTGGTATGTATAGGAAATGGTAGGTGGAACCATCTACCATGATAGTAATATACTCTGAAAGCTACTAAGTCAGTGTGAACATCGGCCAAGCTGTTCATGATGCAAGACGAGGTTAATTATTGTATTTCGAACGGGGCATGTTAAGAGGTACCAGATGGATGTGATTATAAGAGGTACCAGATGGATGTGATTTGGTAATTGTTCTGATGAATTTTCCGCTATAGTACGAAGACTTCATGAATTTAAGCGCAGTACTGGATTGGCGACAAGCTCTCATCATTTTACAGTTGAATAGTCTAGATTTAACCATAAGTTTTATGCTATCGCACTTCTCACTTGTGGAACTCTCTTCCCATTTCTCCCCTCCCAGTCAACTTTGATCTTCAAAAATTCAAGTTCGGCATTGGTTTGTTCTTGTCCCCCACTACTGAATAGTAGTTTTCTCATATTCGTTAACCCTCATTAACCCCCTTGTGTCATAGTGACTTTATTGCTTTTCTTGGGGTGAAATGATAAAAAAAACCCCCAAAAGCCCTACCTAAATAACTTGTGTAAATAGATGACAGAAGAGACACTGGAAAAGATAACAAGGAAACATTCAGAACTACGAAAGACAGGAAGTTGTGGAGATCCATGATCGCCTAGGTCCTGAAGCGGAATGGCAGATAAAATAAGATGTGTTGAGAGTTCAAGGTATACTTATAGGATTTGTCCAGAGTAAATATGGTTAATATTTTCATGTTAATATTTCTGATGATTTCGTTTGCCAGCAACTCGTCAACAATTTAGCTATTTCTGTTTTTCTGCCATAAAAATAATTGTATGCATTGCTTATTCAACTGAATTTTTTATAAGTGGTCATATTCCTCATTTGTTATATTTCAAGTGTTTGCAGATAGTTAAACATAAGTATTTACGTGCGTCATATCGAGGATAATACCTTGACATCGTTTTACCTAAGTCCTTTCCCATCATGGCGCCTGCAGTTCTCCTCGGCGCCATCTATTGACTATTTATATAAATATTGTTTCGTTTCTACATTTTTCCATATGATATTTATTTTGCAAAATCTGACTGTTTTTTTTTGGCATTTGGGGAGTAAGTACTGTTTCCGTCAAATATATATTCGATAAGAAAAATGAAATTATCAAATACAGTTTTTATGCCTGTCTTCATTTGGTCGTTCAGTGTACAAATCAATCAACTACCCGGAATTGCCAGGTGACTAACGGTTTTGAGCGCTTTATCCGGGTATCCCGATTCTTACCCCTTGTTCACCTGGTTAGCTGTTAAGTGTTAGTTTTCCGCTTCCAGTCTGCAAATTTTTACAAGATTCTCTCTTATTATTACAAACCTTATTTTTAGAGGTTATACGTGTTTAGGTTATCACTCCTGCTTTTATTTTATTTTATTAAACAGTGAAAGTTCCGTAGCCGAACAGATATATTCTTCGGTTTAAGAAGTGGTTTCCTTCAGGTTAAATAAAGGGATACAAATTCAATTTGAGGTAGAAATTTTCTTGAGTCGGATTTCCTAATTTAGGCCAATTGCTATTAATTTCAATATTTAATAAAATAAAAAAAAAACACTGTGCCTACTAAAAATGACGTTTATATCAATATGAAATAATGACAGATAAAAAATCCTTTTAAAAGATTATCTCTGTGAATAAATTGTTGAACTTCCCAAACTAAAATAGTTATCGAGCGAAAATTACTCCCTCTTCAGTTTGTGTTTGGAAAACCTTTTCATCATTTCGGTCCCTGACTCTGTCAAAATATTTCGGAGATAACAAATCAAATCAACAAATCAGGCTTGTTTAGCCTGAAATGAATTAATTTTGATCCCAAATCAAGCCTCTGTTGGAAATAACTTCTGTGATTTAGAGGTTAAAATGTTTCTCCTTGTTTTTGGTAAAAACATTTCCATGTTTTTTCCTGAATTTAGAGATCTAAATTGCCACATTTTAAGATTTTTAAGTTGATGTGTCTGTGTATATTTTATATTTCATCGATCAATCATTACTTAATATCGATATGTGTGTTTTTGTGGATATCATTATTATTTTTTGTCTTTATATCCTTCTTTGTTCCATCATGGAGCCGAATCCATTCCTTGGATTCGGGGATACTATGAGGTTGTGAGGCATTTATTTGATGGGGGCAGTCTTCATTAATATATGAGTTGTACTGGCGAGGACGGTATTCTGCACTTTTTGTATGTTGATGTTTTCTTGGTGTATTTACCATTGCGTTCTTGACCAAATCGAGAGCACCTGTTATCACGCCACATTCTTTCAATTTCTATTTAAAGACCTTTATAGTAAGAGAGTTTTTCTCTCGTTTTTAGGAAGGTGTTTCTTTTTTTTTTACTTTTTTTTAACTTTTGGACAGGCATATCGATGAAGAGACAAATTATTTCCTATTATATCAGCTCTGTTGGGCTTAATTTCTTCATCACTTTGGATTGGTATGCCCAAGTGAATAGTAGATACATCGTTTTCTGTTACAGTTGATGACTCATGTTCAATATATTCGCTTTTGATATTAAAGTTATAGTGTTTATAGATTGTCCAGTGGGGGGGGTATGCTGTTGCCTTATTTTGTCTTTGTGTGTATTCTATTTTGACCGACGTGAGACTAGATTATTATTATTATTATTATTATTATTATTATTATTATTATTATTATTATTATTTCCTTTGATTTCTGGCGTTTACACATTTCTTTCCGGGTCCCGCCCAGGGACCTAAGGTTAGAAATGGCGTCATGACACTTTCCACTGACAAAAAAAAAAAAAAAAAATTAAATTACATAGATAAAGCCCTTCGTAAGGTGTGGGCTGTACTTGTCAGAAGAATTTTTTGTATCTCCTTGAGGCATGGACTTCCAGGGATCCCTGCAATCTTTTCCAACCAGTCCTAGGGCTCCAACTACAACAGGGATTGTTGATGTTCACATATGCCACATTTTCGAGATTTCTATTTCAAGGTCCTTGTACTTTGACAACTTTTTGAATATCTTCAAAGATACATTGCAGTCAGCAGGGACTGCCATATCAATAAGGAGGCACCGTTTTTGTTTGTGGTCTTTAATAACAATACTTGGCCGATTGGCTTTGATTGTTCTGTCAGTGTGTATTGTGTAGTCCCATAGAATTGTAACAGGTCCTATCTCCGTAACCGGGTCTGGGTGGTGTTCATACCAGTTTCTTTCAGTTTCCTTCCCGTAGAAGTTGCAGATTTTCCAGTGCAGATATTGGCCCACTCTGTCATGTCGGGTTTTATATTCAGTGGGTGCCAACACCGTGCAACCTGATACAAGGTGTTATTATTATTATTATTATTATTTCCTTTGATTTCTATTGTATACAAATTTTCTTCCGGGTCCCAACTAGAGATCTAAGGCCAGAAATAGCTTCATGACATTTTCCCCTGATCATTTTTGTAAAAAAACAAACCAAACCAAACCTAAGATCATACCCATTTTATATAGATAAATCTCTTTGTAATGTGTGCGCTGGACTTGTGAGTACAATTTGTTGTATTTATTTTAAGGCATAGACTACTACATTTTCCAAGCAATACGAGCGCTCACACTACAACTGGAATTACTGATGTCCTCATGTATCTCATTTTTCAGATTTCTGTTACAAGATCCTTGTATTTTGAGAGTTTTTTTAAAAATATTTTCAAATATACAGTACAATCTGCATCGACTGCCATGTCAAAAAGAAAGCACATTGTTATTATTATTATTATTATTATTATTATTATTATTATTATTATTATTATTTCCTTTGATTTCTGGCGTTTACACATTTCTTTCCGGGTCCCGCCCAGGGACCTATGGTTAGAAATGGCATCATGACAGTGACATAAAAAAAAAATTACATAGATAAAGCCCTTCGTAAAGTGTAGGCTGCACTTGTGAGAACAATTTTTTGTATCTCTTTGAGGCATAGACTTCCAGGAATCCCTTGAATTAGTCTACTGGAATCTTTCCCAACCATTCCTACAGCTCTAACTACAACAGGGATTGTTGACGTTCCCATGTGCCATAATTTTGAGATTTATAAGATTTTGTTGTTGTTGTTATTATTATTATTATTATTATTATTATTATTATTATTATTATTATTTCCTTTGATTTCTGTTCTATACACATTTCCTTCCGGGTTCCAACCAGAGACCTGATCATTTTTTGTAAAAAACAAAAAAACAAATAAACCCTCAAATCACCCACATTGATAAAGTACTTCGTAATGTGTGAGCTGTACTTGTGAGTACAATTTTTTGTATTTCTTTAAGACATAGGCTACCAAGGTTTCTTCAGAGTCTATCAGAACCTTTTCCAATCAAACCGATGTTTCCAGGAATAATAGCAATGGAATTATTATTATTATTTTATTTCTTTTTGATTTTTGGCAGATACTCATTTCTTTCCGGGGCCCGACGAAAGACCCAAAGTCAGAAATGGCATCATGACATTTTCCACTGAGCGGTTTTGAAAAAAAATCAATAAAATAAAAAATAAATAAAACAACAATCTATTAGGAATTTGTCCCGTTCAAATAATAATGTATGACTTTTTTAATTTGCTCAAGTTGCTAAGACACAATGTTTTATTTAATTATTTAACTTGTGATACAACATCATCTTTTTATGTTCCATGACATCTTTATGATCCTC